TTATCCTATGGAGTGAGCCTAGCAATTAAGGTGCCCATAAAACACAAAGGAGCACCTGGACTCAACTTCCAACTCCAGCTTCCCACAAATGCAGACTGCAGAAAGCAGTGGTGATGGTTCAAAGTAACTGAGATCCCACCAGGCATGTGAAAGACAGATTCCCAGCTTCTGGCTCAGGCTCTTACTATTGTGAGCATCTGGGGAGTGAACCAGTAGATGGGAATTCTCTTGTTCTCTGTCTCTGCTCCTCTCCTCCTTTCTGTCTCTCAAATACATAAAAAATAATTAAAATTATATTTAATTTTATCCTTACCCTTGTTAACCTTCATAAAAGATGGCTGGAGCAAAATAATGAACATTAATATAATTCTCTCACATTCTGACACGGCTCAATTTTTTTAATTTTTTAATGTGAAAGTTAATTAATAAAAATATTGGCTGGTAATATAATCTGTATAATATTCATACTTCTTATTTCTCATCCTCCTCTCTGTCGTTCCTTTCCTTTAGATCACTGCACTATTAATTGGCAATTCACCAGAAAATGGAAAGAAACAAAAGCAATTCAATTTTCATTAGTTAACACAGCCACATGGGCCTGTAAAAATTAGTCATTATCACCCCAGAATACTGATTTTCAGGTGACTAAGTTTACAGTTGCGGTCCCTGTCAGCTGTTAGAAACAAATAGGATATAATGCATGCAGAAGAGGGCTATGCTTTAAAGTGCCTCCTTTCGGTCTAATACATAATAAATGTTTGAGAGAAGAATAAAAAGAGGGGAAAATGAAAGTACTGCACAAACGCAAGAGGACACACTTATGTATGCGATTCACAGAAATTTAAAACTGGAAGAGATGCATGCAGAAAAAGAAGAATAAATTGCATCTGTTAAACGGTCAAGCCTGGTAGACAATTTGAGGGCAAATCCACGCTCTACCACTGGCTAAGTGAACTGAGCAAATTACTTAACTGTCTGAGCCTCAGTTTCCTCATCTATCCAGATGGAGCTAAGAACAGAACAGCTTCACAGACGAAGTGACTAACACACAGCAGGACTCAAGTGAAATCTCATCTAATGAAACATCTGCCTTTAAAAGAAAATTAAACCAAGCATACAGAAATCAAGAAGACTTTCAAGTCACACTTCTGTTTTCAAAACCTGACTAAAGGGCCGGCGCCGCGGCTCACTAGGCTAATCCTCCGCCTAGCGGCGCCGGCACACCGGGTTCTAGTCCAGTTCAGGGCGCCGGATTCTGTCCCGGTTGCCCCTCTTCCAGGCCAGCTCTCTGCTGTGGCCAGGGAGTGCAGTGGAGGATGGCCCAGGTGCTTGGGCCCTGCACCCCATGGGAGACCAGGAAAAGCACCTGGCTCCTGGCTCCTGCCATCGGATCAGCGCGGTGCACTGGCTGCGGCGGCCATTGGAGGGTGAACCAACGGCAAAGGAAGACCTTTCTCTCTGTCTCTCTCTCTCTCACTGTCCACTCTGCCTGTCAAAAAAAAAAAAAAAAAAAACCCTGACTAAAACTCAGACCTTCTGCCTCCAAGGCGCATGATCAACACTGCTTATCAGAAAACTTACCCTGAGAAGAGAATGAGGTGACAAATGTTAAGCTATGGTGATACTGGTTCTTGAAATTCAGAGTGTTTTTAAAAACACATGGAAAGGTGTGTAAAACAAAGGTAACATTCTCTCATGCCCCACAAGAAGATATTTCGATCAAATGAAATCTGGGATACTGTGCTTTCAAAAAGCATTCCAGATTATTCTCGTGCATGGACCTTGGACCATACATTGAGAAGCTCTGCTGTAGAAGAGGAAAAGTAAACAGCTCCCCAAAAATAGTCTGACCATTACAGTCACCTCCAGAGCCCCACCTTGACCTATATATTAGAATCACTGAAGGTGACATCCAGGCCATCTGTATTTTCTGCAGTCTCCCCAGATTGACCCTTCCACGTGTCAGGTTGGAGAATCCACGGTTTACAGACAGACAACATCACCATCTCTGCAGACATCAACCTATTGACACTGGAAAGTGGTGAGTTGGTGAAATTAAAGAAGAATCCTTTATAAGAGCTCAAGGGCAAAGGTAGGCGACCCTGTACTAGTGAACCTTAAACATGCAGGAAGCATGTGAGTCTTAGACAAGCAGGCGATCCCTGAAAAAGCAGCAGACGCTGAGTCCACTTCTGTCTGCCCCTAAACACGATCTGCCATTTGCCTCCTCTGTTTATACATTCATCTTTAACAGACACACCGCTTGCTCTGAATCCTCGGCAATCTCTGTTGGAACTTTTGACAATTAAGTCGAGTAGGATCTTGTGCCATAGTTCAACTCAGCTAATCACATTTACTCTGGTTCCTGGAGGACTTGCTAAACTTCTCTGACTTTCCAAGTCATTCTGTATAAGATCTATTTTGCCTATTTCATATGGATTGGGGATAATCAACAGAAACAATGTATCTGAAAGCCTTTTTCCAATTCCAAAGCAATATATGATTTAAGACATTCCTTGTTCAAAATTCATCTACCTGGGCCAGTGCTGTGGCTTGGAAAGTTACACGGCTGCCTGCAGTGCCAGCATCCCATAAAGGTGCTGGTTTGTCTCCTGGCTGCTCCACTTTGAATCCAGCTCTCTGTTAATGTGCCTAGGAAAGCAGTAGAGGATGGTCCAACTCCTTGGGGCCCTTGCCACCCATGTGGAAGACCTGGAAGAAGCTCCTGGCACCTGGCTTTGGCCTGGCCCAGCCCTGGCCATTGCAGCCATTGCAGCCATTGGGGAGTGAACTAGCGGATGGAGGATCTCCTTTCTCTCTTTCTCCTTCTCTCTCTCTGTATCTCCAGTTTCAAATAAATAAATAAATCTTTAAAAACAAAACAGAAAAAGGAAAAAAAAACTCATCTCCTTATCCTGATAAAGGTGTAGCATGCTTATGTAAGTTGTATTCAGCAGGCAAGGAAATAGGGGCTGGTTGAGTAGCTTCCACTAAGCCCCTGAGCCTGGAAGACCACACTGTCAACATATTATTGCAAAGATTTAATCAGGAGAGGTGACCATCTGTACTGAGAATGACAAATGTCACAGGACCAGGGAAGTTCAAGTTAGATTAAGGTAAGATCAAAGAATTTATATGCTTACTACTTGGAAAATAATTCAAAAGCCATCCAGACGAACTCTGCACACAACTAAGCAAGAGAACAAACAGAGAAGATATGAAAGAGAAATTGAATGACAAAATAAAAGAAACAAGCTACTTCTATAATTAAATACCAATGAACAAGCTGGGAACTCTCATTGTACCTAATTCTCCAGTGGGAATGTATAATCTAATGCAAGACGAGATCTAAGGAGATCTAAGGAGAGTTCTAACCAGAGATAATTAAGTTAAGGCTACCTTAACTTTAAGGTAGCAGGAAGGATGTTCTAAAAAGAATAGCTAAGCCTTTGCTTCTGATTCTCATGTGCCACAGAATACACAGTCTCTATATGGACTACCGGGAAGTGAGATGTCAAACTCCACAGATAAAATAATGACCATCACATTCAACTCTGACTTCTAAGACACCAGGCTTTGCTGCGTAACTCATCACAATTATTTAACAAATTTGATAATTTTCAAAATCATTGGCTACACAGTTAAGTAGAAGGGTAAACTTCTCAGCAGGTGGATAACACAAAAAGGTGGGTGGGGGGGGGGGCTTTATCACATTTGAGAAACAGATTTTAGGAATCTCCATTAATGACAAATGCACAACTTCGTGAAGTGAAATCATGCAGTTGGAAAACATATGTGAAAGAAAACCATGGGCTTGCATTCATAAACATGCAGCACCAAGTAGTTTTATTTTGCACTGGCTTTCATGCCAGGCCTACACAGATGATGACACAGATTGGAGACTTCCTTTTAAAATGCAACCATTGTAAAATGTAAACAGAACTGATGACATAATGTTGGCAAGGTGTGTGGTGTATACAAAAAGGGACACCTTCAAAAGAAAGCTGCCAAGGTCAAAGATAATTCTGCACACTAACCCTAATAAAACCTCATTCTATCACTATACAAATGATCTTTGCTCAATGACACAATGATCTTACCAGGAATACCACTCACACCCAGATTTCTTTGTCAAACAATAAAGTTATGAATAACTTAAAACAAAAATCTATATCTTCCAACTAGCAACATGCAGATGTTGTTTGGGTATTGTACTTTTAGGGCAAGTAAAAAATACAGCTCCAAATACATTTCAAAAATGAGTAAAAATCTCAGATAGCTAACTTAGCTAAAGCTAAATATCATTGTGAAGAATAAAGACCTCAACTTTGTTAGTCTGTGTCATATTCATATTCAAATTCCTATGACATGTTGCCCTAAGGATTTCTGATTTTAGACTAACTCATGTAACAAAGGGACAGGATGGATCAGGATGACTTTATCTCTATAACTACTCCTAACACACACACACACACACACAGAATTGAAAACCATGATGTGAATGTTTCTGTGCTTGAAAGCTGACAGAGATTTGGTATTTGACTTTTCAGACTTATGGAGCAGCAAGTCAATATTGACTCTCCATTGTACCATATACCGCAACATCCTGCTGACTGGGTAATATCTAAGCTATTCTTTTCATTGCTTCCTAACTTAACTTTTACTGATAATACAGTTACATTTCCACAGGCTACTTCATAAGAAATGTGAATAGGAGAAACTCAAAAGATAAGTACTCTCTTGAAGCAGTGCTTTTCTAAATCTTCCAGTGATAATAAAACATATAGGGTTTTGACTTCAAAGGGTGAATAAAGAATGTGGATAGCACAACATAAAAAAATCACTATCAGATGTAAAACTATGAGTAAAATACAAGAAACTCTACATCTTTCACACAAGCTAATATAAAAATAAGTTAAAGACAAATTACAAAACCTGTTTGATATGTGCACACGGAATATTCACTTACAGCTTAAACTCAGAATCCGCATTTCACTTACCTCACTGCCATTTGTGTCCTTGGAAACAGAGGACACATTAGGACAGAGGGAATGGCATCTCTTTTTTTCTAACTGAGAGCTACGTATTGCATGGGGGCAAAACCTCTCAGTGCTTTGCTTTTCCAAGACACTGCTATCACTTTTCCATGGGTCTTTAGCAAACCCACTGTTTCCAAGTGATCTCTCTGCACCACAGTGAATGGAACTTAAGCTGGCTGCCTTTCGGACAGGAAACACATCAGTTTTGCTCTGGAATGTTATTTCTCTTGTGTTGACATCATCTAAATGTTTCTCCTGCTTTGCGCAACATGGAGTGCCGTCTTTTTCTGAGATCCTTTCATCCAGTTCGCTGACTTTTACTTCGGTTTCAGTGTCTTTGGCAGGAGAACCGTTCGCACCATAAGACCAACTGCTTGCAGCGCTTGACAGAAGTTTCTGTTTAACACCAGCAGCTACAGCTGTCTTCTCTTGCCGAACCCCGCCTTGCTGTGAAGGGTCTGGGGGAACACAGGGCTCCTGTACCGGGCCCCTGGATAAAAGAGCAGACTCTTCTTTCGAAACTTGAATGTGGCTCTTCTTGCCTTCATTTTCCCTGTCTGGCTCCCCTGATGCTGTGTCACATACAGTTTTCTTGATCGGGTTTCGTCTGAAATATTTTCTTCCGGGAGAATATTTTTCAGGGCTCAAAGGAGTTTTGGCAGGATCTAAATACTGTTCTTCTTTCTCAGCTCTTACACAGCCACAGACATTCCCCATTTGATTTCAGGAGCTCAGAGCTGTACAAACTCACTCATTTCAAAATCCAGGACTTTCTGAGATCCCCATTAAGTCTGAAAACTCCACACTGACCTCCGATTCCTCACAGAAGCTCTGTGACCATCCTCTTCAGTCTGAGGCCATCTTGCTTATGAGAAAGGCACACGCAAGAAACGCTGTGGCATCCTGCCCGGCTGGGTCCCTGTGTCTCATTAGACACCGTGGCTTATTTCTGGCCACCAATCCTCTTAGACAAACATCACTGCTCACTGTCAAACTGTAGCACTGCGGAGCTTTCAAGGCAAACCCTTAGCTTTACTGACAGAAGAAGATTATGACCCTTGCTTTAACTTTCAGTTTTCTAAAATGCAGACACATTAAGAAGTTTGCATTAACCTTTGAAACTACTGGTGGTTCAACCAGGCTGCGAGCAAACAGAAAGCAAATGCCACTCAGGGGAGCTTTAGCAAAGTGCCTTTCAAATTTAGTCCCAGAAAGCCTATACCTTCTGGTATACAATTTATTTTCTTAAGAAACACCACCTAATTTTGGTAGTTATACACAAACAAAAAGCTCAAAAAGTTCTGCAAATTACACTAAGACTCTCATTTAATACAACAGCCATAAAAAAACAACAGGATGGTTCAACAGGTAGCTGAAGGAGACAATAAATGCTAAAATACTCTAATAAATTTGCTTCTAACATCAATCCTCTAAAATAACTTGCAGTATTTTTCAAATAACATAAATTTACAAGTCTTTTTGCCATTAGTTGATCATTAGGATTTTCATGTGAGCAAACAGATAGATTATATGATTTAAAACATGGAACACTTAAGCAAAAGAAACATTTATGCATTCTTAAACATTAATTAAGGCAGTTAAACTTCATATATAACTTTTATAATTGTGCCCTAGTTAAATATTATGCAGTTCTACTGGGACCTTGTTAGAAAAAACAATAAGTCAGTATAGAACCTTATCATCTAAGGTGTGCATATTTCTAACACTGAGTCATAGATAGGGTAAGGAAATGAGCACTGCATGAAATGGACTTACACGTACGCAAAAGTCACTTGACTAATAAAAAAATTGATGATTACCTTTCTCTAAGTCTTCTCTTGCCTGATCGAAGTATAGAACTCATCATATTTGACTGAGTTAGAATACTCAATTAAACAGTTTAACAATGAGGATTGTGGAGGTTTTCCACAGCCTGCACTGTAAGGTTTTCCAGAGTCATTTAAAGGGGACATTAAACATTCTCCAGTAGCCAAACTGAATATCCCAGAAAGCAAGCTGGCAAAAATAAGGTCTTAGGTTGGTTTGTTTTAAATTGATTTTCAGTCTCCTCAAAGACAATTGGTCTGACATGACTCAAGAGAGTCTAAAGGCATATGGGTGGTATCTGTTCTGACATGACAGAGGGGCAATGAATGATTTGCACTCCCTTCACCCTTCCTTGTAGCCTTGGCAAACTAAGCAACTCCCTATATTCCAGACTAATAAATTGATCTTTCTTAAAATGGCCCGACTTTAGTACCTGCCAACTAACTGCCAAGCCTTTCTTTAATATTTGTAAAAATTTTCCTTATTCTCTCATACCTTCCTGATCCTAACACAATACTCCCTCCCCATACATTTCTGCGTATTTTTATTTTTATAGACAACTGATTCATTACCGTAAATAATAGTTCACTGGATTTACATCCCCCAGGAGACAGAAGTACATGTTTCGTTGTCTTGGTAATCTCTGGATCTAGCATGTGGTGGCCAATGATACAGAATTACTATGATGATAACACCTATCTTTAGAAAGCCTGATTGAAAAACAGATTCAATATGTAATGCTCATAACAAGTAATTTTGAAGCAAATAAACATGCTACTCTTCTGAAACCTCCCTTTCTTAGGTGAAGTATAGAAGGCAAAAAAGCTTAGTCATCTGAGTGCATGGTGATGACTGTTATAAATAGCTTTATATCTTGGCATAACCTGAAAATACTTCTTTTTTTATTTATTTGACAGGTAGAATTAGAAAGTGAGAGAGAGAGACAGAGAGAAAGGTCTTCCTTCCGTTGATTCACCCCCCAAATGGCCACTATGGCCGGCACTGCACCGATTCGAAGCCAGGAGCCAGGTGCTTCTTCCCGGTCTCCCACGTGGGTGCAGGGACTCAAGCACTTGGGCCATCCTCCTCTGCCCTCCCGGGCCACAGCAGAGAGCTGGACTGGAAGAGGAGCAACCAGGACTAGAACTGGCGCCCACATGGGATGCCGGTGCCGCAGGTGGAGGATTAACCAAGTGAGCCATGGCGCCGGCCCCTGAAAATACTTCTAATCTTAAAATTGTCATAATACTAAGAAAAAGTTATTTTGTTTAAATAAAGAACACTATATTTTCTCAAAATGCAGGTGTGTTCCATTTTAAATAATCTAGGTCGAATCTATAATTATTGGTGATAATCTCATAGTCATAACATTATATGATTCGAGTCCTAAAACACAATGTATTCCATAATATCATGCCACAAAATTATATTGAAGTAAAACTTTCGGAAATTCTGTGAATAGTCCTCCCCTTTCTGCCACAGACACTTGAACCCCAAAGGGCTTTCTTAGTCATACTTTTCCTTCACATTTCTTTAACCTAGAATCTCAATACACTGCTTCTAATTCCCAACCATTTATTCACATTTCAGTCTGTCAATTTCTAGTTTCTGTTCCCAGTAGACTGTATAGACTGTATTTTCTCCAAGTGTCTTCCTTCTAGACAAAAACTATTCAGCTGTTCTCCATTTTCATTTTCTCACAGTCTCTAAAGGCACTTTATACAGCTCATCATTCTCTTGTACTTGAAATTCTCTCCCCTTGGTTTTTTCAGAACATTTTCCAGTTGCTTCATCCACCTCTACAATTGCCCCTTTTCTGTTTCTCTACCATGAGCCTTCCTTGCACCTGGAATCATGAGTTTTCTACACATTGCTATCCTTAGCTCTCAATTCTTCTCCACTTACTCTCTTCTCTTGGATTCTCTGAAGATCACTTCTCTCTGCTCCTGGGTGCACCACCTGTGCCTGACTTCTCAGCTCTGCTCTGTTCACATTTCTCAATGCTCACCAAACCGGTGCATAATAAGCTATCCCTCTACCCAGCAAGTCCACCAAAAAGTCACCAGTGTTCCCCACATCTCTGTTCGAGCTCCCAGGTTAAAGTTTTTAGTCACCCTCTATGCCCTGTGGCTGAGTGCCTTCCTTTCTTTCTTCAAAATGTCTTCTCCTGGATTCAACTTTCCACCCTCACCTGAATCCAGACCTGCCACTCCACTGAGATCACTCTTCAGCTGTTTAGCTTATCTCCCTGACACTGGATTTTGCTCATATCTATGTTACTTAGAACTGGTACAGTCTGATTCCTGAAACAATCTGTCAAGCTCTGACTGGCTAAGTGATTTACCTAATCACAGCTGTAAGTAAAAGAGCCAGAGAGAAATTTACTTCTGCCTGCCTCCAAAGCCTGGGTGCATTCCCTGCCCCACAAGGATCCTTACTCTGATATTCAAAATCCAGACATAGCCAGCCTCACCACCTTTATGGTGATGCAGTGACCCACTCCCTGCTCTGATTGGCCTCTGACTTTCCCACCTGCCATTCATATGGTTTCTTTTTTTTGACACATAGAGTTATAGACAGAGAGAGAGACAGAGAGAAAGAGAAAGGTCTTCCTTCCATTGGTTCACTCCCCAGATGGCCGTAACGGACGGAGCTATGCCGATCCACAGCCAGGAGCCAGGCGCTTCTTCCTGGTCTCCCACGCAGGTACAGGGGCCCAAGCACTTGGGCCATCCTCCACTGCCTTCCCGGGCCATAGCATAGAGCTGGACTGGAAGAGGAGCAACCAGGACTAGAACCCGTCGCCCATATGGGATGCAGGTGCCACAGGCGGAGGATTAACCTGGTGAGCCACGGTGCAGGTTTCAATCCTGCTACAATCTGAGGGACTTGATCCATTAGAACTAATGAAAGGATCCTCAAGAAAGCCACTGAGAAAATCCCCATGAAATCAGCTTTTGGGTCAATTCTAACTATACTCTTCCCAACTAGGTTAACAAGCTGTGGCTCTGCACCCTGTGTGCAAATCCTTGCCTTAGTCTGGTGTTCAGCACACCCCATCCCTGAAGGACAGGGGGCTCAAGTAACGGGGATTCTTGGTTCTCCAAAGTCCTGGATCCCTACTCTTGTTCCTGGTTCTCCCTGACATCTGGCTGAGTGGACATACACCTGTACAAGTTGCCCTACAGTCAGGCTGGCTAAAACCTTTCTTCTGCTTACCCTGACTCAATTTCCTCCTGCTCAAACTGCTCTGCTTCCTGTTCAGCTCCTGAACTATTCCTGGACTTAACTTCACATAGCTCTCCATATCTGCCAGGCCTAGCCTATGCCCAAAGGAACCCTAGGACCATTATTTTCCACCATTCCCTAACAAACTCTGTGTTTCAGTCTAATTTTACTCCTCTCCAGGCTTGGTTCAAAGGCCCTGCTCTTTTCTGAAGCTGGCAAGCTCTCTCTTCCTCTTGAAGTCCACCTGCACAGTAATCAACCAGTGAGAGACACTGTCAGCCTTCTTGCTGCGCACAGCACATTTTGTGAGTGAACAGGCGGTTGATAAACTAAAACAAGTTCCAAAGTTAGAGGTCACCTTTAATCAAATGAAGGTGATTTTTAAAAGCTTTTTAAAAAATCAAAAATTAGTCTCCAGTTGGCATAAGTTTATTAGGTATTATTTTTATAGTAAGTAAATTTGCACTTCTCACCTCAAATCTAGAATGAGAAAGGGTAACTCTACACACTGTACATAAAGCATGGGTATCCTATTTTACTTCAAACACATTTCTTTTTATGGTAAGTGTACTGCCATCTAGTGTCTACCATAGGAGAAATGCCAATAAAAATCATTCTAAATAAAGACTGAGTCATAAAATCTTTATGTATCTAAAACATGTAATACTTTCCAAAGAACAAAAGAAATGTGTCTGCATTAAATAGTAAGAATAAGTTATCTGTTTTCCAACTCTGGAATTACAAGTATTGTCCTTAAAATTGCATTTAAGGCTCTCAAGAACAGAAGAAAATGAAGTCCCAGGTTCACAACAGCATGTAAATTAAAAGAACAATTTGAATACATTGCTTAAGAAAAGAAGACTGGAATTGACTTTTCTTCCTTGTGGCCTGAAGGCATGATTCACCCTCCTTACCAGTCATTTAGTAACTAGCAATGAGAGGCTACCAGAAACTACAATAAAGAACAGCTGGGCTTACCTGAAAGTGCAAAATTATTGTCCATATTAATCCCAAAGTCAATTTGGGATTTCCATCTGTTATGTCATCATTTCTAATGTTCACTAATTTCACCTGTTGTATATGAGAAGAAATCAAACAAACTTTATCAAATTGGCACTAGTTACCTTTACCTACATAAAAGCAATTTTGATTTTGCAAAGAAAAAAATGAAATGATTTAAATACCAGTAATACCCCC